TTCTTATCACTGTCCCAGATACATCATATCAAGGCAAAACCTTTGGCCAGTAGAGACACTGGTATAAGCCAAACTTTACAGGTCCTGATTGATTTACAACAGACACTGAAGTTCATACTAGAGACGGCATTGCAGATACAGATAATCTCTTTCAAGCTAATGAAAAAAGAAGAAGAAGAAGTTTTTATCAGGAGACCAAAAAAACCAGGAGAACAGTCTCTACACCACCTAACTTCATAAGATACAAGCCCTGATCCTAGTTCAGACAACAGTACTGAAACTTACAAGTTTTACAAAACATCTCTACATCTCTACATTTGAGAGGCTGGTTCATTTGGAAAAAACTCTTCCATTGTTATCTTTGGGAGAATTGCGTAGTGACGTTGCAGTCTCTTTCAAGGTTTGACCCTCACACCACTGTTGGAAAGCTACGATAATTCAGTGGTGGCTTGTGCGTAGACACTATGGAAGTGCATTCTTATTCTACCCACACACCATCATGCAAAAATTGTCTTTTTCTAATCTGCCTGCCATGGAAATCAAACCCTGGTAAGTTTGGAATTGTGAAATGCATTCACTGACCTCAAAGCCACAGAGCTTCACTTGTCTTTTTATGTTTTTTTTTTTTTTTTGCACATACCTGCTGTAAACTTTGACAGGAAACTCCCATATATTTGTCCGCTTCTAGACTGAATGTAACTTGTGTTTTGCATGTACATCCATTTTACACATCAGGCTTATTTATTTGTATGCAGACTGTTAGTTCCTCACCTCTCTGGTAGATGTACTATTACTTCGTAGGAACCCCCCCTCCCCCCCCCCCCCACAGGGCAAGAGGTATGTCAAACTCAAGTCTGTAGATCTGAGCTGATCAGAAAACATTTCCTTGCTACTGGAACTACACCCTGGATCACTGCGTCACAAAGCTGGACCTTGCAGTCATGGTTCAGGATATAACTATGTTGTTTGTTGAATTCATAAAATTAGATTTATTTCTTGTAGAATGCTAGTTATTTGCCCGCTAGAGCTTCAGTGTAAGAAATAATTATAAAGAATAACTGCATCTACCAGTAACCACATATATACAAAATTGTAATTGCAGGGCATATATCACCATCATAGAGAAGGCTCCTTGACTGATTCTCTATCTTCCAATGATAGCAGTTATATCAGTGGACAGTAAGTATATGTATGTCTAAAGAAATTAGTTGTTATTTGTTGTGTTGACAAAATCTCTACTCTTTTTTTTCTGTGCTTTCTCACCATGTTGGCGTTTTAAAAAAAACATTTGTTGCTGTCTCCTTTTATGTCTTTCACATATTATTAACTTTCTCCCCTCATTCAGATATTTATCTCTTTATCTTTCCATCATTCGTTTTCCATTAAGCTCATCAATTGTCACCAGTTTTTCTAGTTCATTGCTTCTCATAACATATATATCCAACAGTTTTGATCTGTTTAGAGATGGTAACAGTAAAATGAAGGACCCTTTTCCCTGCCTTCAGGGGTATTGAGCATATAGGGGCTAGACCTATATTTAAGAGACCAGTCAGCATTGGGTGGGCGATGTGGTCAGCATCGTGCCAGCCGCCTCTACTTCCCAGGACTGTACATGGTACTTATTTAAGGCTGGGTCAACCTGAGAGTCCTATAGTTCCAAACAAACCATATTTTTATTGCTAGTTGGCTTTGGTTTTTGTCCATGTCCCACGTGTATTCAGCAATACAGGTTTTGTGTACAAATGTAACACTTTTTTCTTACTGCATTTGACATGACATCTTTCTAGTAGCAGTTTTTTTTACTGAAGCTAGAACATTTGTGGAATACATTCATCACCATCGTCATCATGTAGCAGGTCCTTTACGGAACATTGTTCTCATCACAGCCCGCCTGAAAGAAACTTGGTTTCTCGCTAGCTCTCCTGCCTCATGATCTTTCCTACCCAAGGTGTCTCCCACATCCTGTACCAATCTTTGTGCTGTTAGGTAGGACACTTGTTATGGCCAAAAATGTTTTTACTTTCCAAGACAAGATGCTGTTTAGGAGGGTCTTCTTGATGATTATTCTTTATGTTCCTCTTGGTCCAAGTTGCTCTGAGAGTCTTTCTACATGGTTTCTGCTCAAACACCCCTATTTTCTTCTATAATGATTGTGAGACAGTTCTTGACACACTGCTACAGGAGAGATGCTTGCTGTCATAATTGTGACAATGACCTGCTGGTGCTTAGCCAAAGGCTTTTCAAGCTGTTTAAATGAAATACACAATATTTATTTATTTATTTGCAGCAGTGATGGTCGGAGAAGAGATTCAAGAAGTGTGTTGTCAGAAAATTCCAAAGATGAACATCCTGTTAGAGACTTAAGTGAGTACACTTTTTTCTTGTACTTGTTAACTCCTAAATCAGGGCTATTTAACTGGCGACCAGGGGCATTGATCTGGGCCGCAAAGGCCTAACAAGTGACCTGTGGATCACCTGCCAGTTGTATTGTGTTAACGCTCTTTCTGTGTTGGGACTGGGCCTCTGACCTGAGACAATAACCCGTTTTCCAAATTTTGGCCCCTGAGTAAACTTAGTTAAATAGCCCTGTCCTAAATGAATGAATAAATGATTGAATCATGAAATGATGACATGGCACTAGGGACATTCCCATCTATGCTCATCCTCCCTCTTCAGTAACCAATGAAGAATTCCTCATACTGATAGTGTTAGCCTGATTAGAAGTTTGCCTGTTTTTTTTTTGTCATTGTGGGTAGAAAATTGTCCAGACCCTCTGCTCATTTATGGCTGAATCATTCTCTCCAGATGTTGATCCTCTGTTCTGCCTCACTGACCACTTGATTCCACAGAGCCATCACTAAGTCTACTCAAGTCTTAAAAACAGTTGTGAAATTAGAGAAAGATTTGAAAACTAAGCCTCTTAGCCAGCTTTCTAGCCACTGTAATACCATGTTTTCCTGGTTGGTACTTGTAATTAAAGTACCCCTTTTAATTTCTTAAGATGTGTTTAGATTACACCTTTCAGTCCCAGATGGTTTCAGAGCAGAGATGTATTTAGATTACACCTTTCAGTCTCAGATGGTTTCAAAGCAGAGATAAATTTAGATTATACCTTTCAGTCCCAGATGGTTTCAGAGCAGAGATGTATTTAGATTATACCTTTCAGTCCCAGATGGTTTCAAAGTGAAGATCCAGTTTTGGTTCAATAATCACAGCCAAAAAGGCATGAGATTTTTTAAAGATACAGCATGTACTGAGCTGCATTAAAAATTTTTGGCCAGATTTTCTTGAACATATTCAGAACCAAACATAAAATAAATAGTAACAAAATGAGTTTCCCTGATACAAAGCCATTAGCTGAGCACACATGGTGCATTGCTTGGGACAGAAAAAGTAACGATTATGTAAATAAAGAATATCTTACTCTGATCTTTCTTTGTCAATTGAGGCAAGAAAGTTAATTCTTTAAAACTGTTTAATACCTATGTTGATTTATGGCAGTAAATCATGATCAGTTTGCAGATTTGGAAGCTGCGGAGATGTGGTTTTGTAAATGAATGAAGAGAATACCCTGAACAGATAAAATGAGTAATAAGGATGTCGAGAAAGAAACTGACTCACGAAGAGAATTGATTGCCTACAAAATCTACATTCTTTGGTTATATGATGAGAAGGAGAAAACTAGAGTACATTGTGACAGTAGGAAAGTTGGAGGGGAGGGTAGGCAGAGGAAGACCGAGAGAAAAGAAGCTAGACTGTTTGACATCATGGCATGAAGGATCATATGTGTCAAAGCTGACTGAAAGTACACAAGACAGAAGGTTGTGGATAGACATGACCATCAATGCCAAACGACATGGACTTTAAGATTAAACTGGCTGTGTTTTCTTCCCAGTACACTTAGTGTTATATATTTTAAGAAGTCCAGGTAACCATATTTTTTTTTCCTTTGTTAAATCTCTATCACAGTGGGGATGACAAGCAAGTGTGGATGGTACTTGTAAGACTGAATAATTATGCTTGATCAATTATTTTCATTTCTCAGGCCGTAAACATTTTGGAACATTTCCACGAGGCTTTGAAAGTGCTCAGTCAGAGTCTGCAACTGAAGGGAAACATATTGGTAAGCCATTGGAGATTGTGTTTCATAGAATGTTTTTTGTTAATTTGAATGTGTATTCTTCTTCTTCGTCTCCTACTCCTTCTACTTCTCATCCTCCTACTTATTATTCCTCACCTTCCTAATATTTTTCTCCTCGTCATTTTTCTTCCTTCTCCTCATTCTTATCTTCTCCTCTTCTACTTCTATCTAAAGAAATGCATCTCACCTGTTAAGGCACCTGACATGTTCTTCTTCTTCTCACCCTTAAAAAAGTGGTTGGTATGTTGTGTCTTGATTTACAGCTTGGCTGTGATATCTGCAGCTTGTGTATAATGAGCATGCTTCAAATGTTTTTTTTTTGGGGGGGAGAGTAAAGAAAAAAAACCTGCCCCCTAACAATCGTGTTGTAGGAGGTTACTAATTTGGGGTGTTTCCTTCAAAGTCGGAGTGCATCTGCCTGAGAGGCAAGGAACCAGCAGTCAGGCTACAGATAAGCCAGATCTGTAAAACAGTTGTGAAGGCAGTCTGGGCTCAAAATCATTTCTTATGTTTATATAAATTAAACACTATTGGTATAATGGGAATGTACAAACGTTGCTCAGTTTATATTGTAAACTCATTTCATTTATATTTATACTGCATGTTTACTGCAGATTTTTTTAAATTGCTTTTTTGTTTTTATTTCAGTATTTGCATTACTTCTTTGTGTTCATTGTATCTTTTCTTTTGTGTGTGCAGTATTCTCATCACTTATTAGTGTTTATAGCAGTATACTGTATGACGCCTCTGTGTTTACTGCAGTATTTTTACCTAATTTCTTTGTGTTTATACAGGGCACCAGACATTTCCAAGGTCAGCCATCAGGCGGTTAGAAAATGAACCATACCTCAACTCACTGATGACACACAATTCCGAGGGCACATTAGACACTCGAAGTTTAGACTCCAGGAGTTCGTCCAGTAGCGGGTTACCTGCCGACCCAGACTTTGACTCCCCTGGAGGAAGATATTCACTTAGCGGGCCTTTGTTTTCTAAATGTAAGAACATATTTTTTTTTTTTACTTTATTACTATTGCATTATAATTCATACTCCTTTTAGGAATTCATTACAGTCTTTTTATTAAGTATTAGAAAATAAGAAAAATCTTGATGTTGTGAGGACTCTTTGGGTGAGAGTAAACAGTGCCCTGGAGGCACAAAAAAGTTCATTACAGTCTGAGGAGAATGTGAGGAGTTAGATGGGGATCTGGCTGATGATTAACACTCAGGGGGAAGGTGAGAGGATATACAAAAGGACAGTTACTGTTGCTATCGGAATTAAAACTCTTCTCTTGCTCCTGAAGATGGGGATGATGCGCTAATGGGTGTGTCCAGAGTGCTGTGATGTTGATTCCTAATTCAACATTTAACATTACAGTCTTTTTACAGTCTGACTGAATGTAAGAAGTTAAACCCCACCAGACTGCATACTGAGTAATTTACACTCGGTGACCCAAAGAGTCACTATTCAAATGAGAATCTCCCAGGTACAAATCCCAGAAACCCAGATCAACTATAAGGTTAAATAGGGGTCTCTGAAGGTTACAAAGAAACATAAAGTCCAGATAGAATAAGGTATTGAACATTCTTTTACTGCCCACATATGGTGAAGGTTGGATGTCATGAGCCAGAGGATTTAGGGCCATGTGCAGTGACTACAGACTGTGCAATTTTGGATTTTATTTTTGCCCTGACAGAAAAAAATCCATTACTTTACAGAGGATTCGAACCTGGGTCTCCAGAATAAGAGCTTAGCACCCTACACTACTCGGCAAATCCCATCGCAGTAGAAATAATCGGAACTGTTTCCATGTTTTAAGCATCTTAGGCACATGAATGTAGCCCTAAAACTCTGCTATTTAATTTTTTTACAGGTCAGTGGTAAGATTATATGTATCATTTCATATTACAAGCTTAACTATTTGTTTGTAATTTATTGAGCAATTCAAGAAAAGCTATTGTGTGTCAGAAGCTTCACAAAACATAATCACAAATGGCAAAGTGAATGCTTCTGCAAAATAACCTTCATGAGTATACAAAAATGCAGTGATACAACTTCATTAGAAAAAATAATAAAAACTGTAAAAAAAAGTTATTTTGATCCCTTGACTCTGTTACATACCAGGGCATAAGAGTCATTATGTGCTGCAAATTTCATAGTCAGTAGATCTTTCTTTGAACTCAGTAGGTAAGTAGATCTTTCTTTAAGCTCAGTAGATCTTTCTTTAAGCTCAGTAGGTCAGTAGATCTTTCTTTGAGCTCAATAGGTCAGTAGATCTTTCTTTGAGCTCAGTAGGTTAGTACATAGCCTAGTAAAAACATAAATCATTTTGTTGAAAAAGTCATTTTTGAAACATAGATTTGATAATAAGTAAATCAATAACTATCTACCTTCAGCTCCTCGTGCACCAACAAACTGGCGACGGGGTAGATTACTAGGCTCTGGTGCCTTTGGCGAAGTGTTCCTCTGCTGTGACGCTGATTCTTCTATTGAGCTAGCAGTCAAGCAGGTGCAATTAGGAAGTATGAATGCTGAAGTTTCCAAGGTAAAATAAGACATGTCTTATCAATATCTTCAGTCATGGGTTCTGTAGTTCATTATATTTAGATTGCATACTGGACACAACAGGCTCTGCAGCCATATGAACAGGAAATTCAAGAGTCAGGAATTCAGAGCTTTGCCCCTGTTTACCCTTGCCCGGCTCTCTAGCGGAATTGGCTAAACCGGATTTCGCGGAGACCAGGTGACGTACTCCTTGTGGTCCGGGTTCAATCCCGGGGGTAGGCAGGAAAGCCACATTTTCTCCCAGATTTACGGTATTTACAATGGAATCAAGGCCGAAAGGTTGCGATATCCATAATACCGAGCCTAAGGGTTAACGACTCATGGCGTCTGGATACTAAAACAAACAGGCACCACAGAATACTGAACATGTGGTACAGACATGCTCTCAACATGCAGTAGAGAGATCCCAGGATTGGCTGGTTGGCATTCCAGTGGAAACCAATCTGTGTTGAATAGTGGTAGACCTGTGGCCTTCTCATCTGAAACCACTGACTGAGAGAATGGAAAGAACAAATAAGGTTCTGTTATTGGTGAATGTAGTTTTTTTCTTCTTTTCTTTTCCAAACATACAGTAGCTGTCTGCGGTAATGACACCTCAGTTTTATTTTGTCCCAACAGTTCTCAGTCATTATTGACCTTTTTCATATCTGCACTGTATTGTTTCATATCTGCACCGTATTGTTTCATGTCTGCACTGTATTGTTTCATATCTGCAGCATATTGTTTCATATCTGCACGGTATTGTTTCATATCTGCACTGTATTGTTTCATATCTGCACTGTATTGTTTCATATCTGCACTGTATTGTTTCATATCTGCACTGTATCGTTTCATATTCATATCTGCACTGTATTGTTTCATATCTGCACTGTATTGTTTCATATCTGCACTGTGTTGTTTCATATCTACACTGTATTGTTTCATATCTGCACAGTATTGTTTCATATCTGCACTGTATTGTTTCATATCTGCACTGTATTGTTTCATATCTGCACTTTGTTGTTTCATATCTGCACTGTATTGTTTCATATCTGCACTGTATTGTTTCATATCTGCACTGTGTTGTTTCATATCTGCACTGTATTGTTTCATATCTGCACGATATTGCTTCATATCTGCAGCGTGTTGTTTCATTTCTGCACCATATTGTTTCATATCTGCACTGTATTGTTTCATATCTGCACTGTGTTGTTTCATATCTGCACGGTATTGTTTCATATCTGCACGATATTGTTTCATATCTGCACTATTTTGTTTCATATCTGCACTGTATTGTTTCATATCTGCACTGTATTGTTTCATATCTGCACTGTGTTGTTTCATATCTTCATTGTATTGTTTCATATCTTCACTGTATTGTTTCATATCTTCACTGTATTGTTTCAGATGCAATCTCTTGCCTCTATGGTGATTGGCATATTTTTTCTTCTTAGGCTCTGAGTAATTATTGACATGTTCTTCTTCTTCTCACCCTTTAAAAAGCGGTTGGTATGTTGTGAATTGGTTTACAGCTTGGCTGTGGTATCTGCAGCTTGAGCACGTCTAAATTTTTAAAAAATTTTGGGGGGAGAATAAAGAATAAACCCTCTGCCCTCTAACAATCGTGTCGTAGGAGGTACTAATTTGGGGTGTTTCCTTCAAAGTCGGAGTGCAACTGCCTGAGAGGCAAGGAACCAGCAGTCAGCACTTAGACATAAGGGAAGCGTAGTCAGAGGTGGACTAATGCAAGCAAGGGATATATGGAATATCTGAGGCTGTGAATACCAGCATCTGTGTAGCACATAAATAGGCTCACACCGTATGCCTCTTCAAAACCTGATGCTGAAAAGAATAACAGCACTAGTAAATAAGAAGATATAAGAAGAGTAAGTACTTATCATGAACGTGCCACATGTCATTGTAGTGCAAGAGTTGCTTTCCCTCACATTCATGCCCTAGCCATTCCTACCTAATGTTGTGGTTGTGTCATGTATTCCTTTTTTCTATGGTTTAACCGTTCTCTCTTTTCTCATGTGTCACCGCTCAATTCCATGTTTTGATACTTGCCTGAGGCTTCATGAGTATTGAAACTGGGATGTTTTTGTATTTCTATGTTCCTTGTCAGTGGCTTCTTTTTCAGTGGGAGGGGGGGGGGGGGGGCGCAGCCAATGCCAAGGAACATAGAAATACAAAAGATCCCCCTCCTCATGAACAGTCACGCCTTCGACGCTTCCCCCTGCAGTACTTCTTTCTTGCACACAGGTGTCTGCGACCCCTAAACAAACTCACAACTTCCCACTGCAGTACTTCTTACTTGTACACTGGTGCCTGCAACCCCTAAACAAACTCACAACTTCCCACTGCAGTACTTCTTACTTGCACACAGGTGCCTGCGACCCCTAAACAGACTCACAACTTCCCACTGCAGTACTTCTTACTTGTACACTGGTGACTGCAACCCCTAAACAAACTCACAACTTCCCACTGCAGTACTTCTTACTTGCACACAGGTGACTGCGACCCCTAAACAGACTCACAACTTCCCCCTGCAGTACTTCTTTCTTGCACACAGGTGTCTGCGACCCCTAAACAAACTCACGACTTCCTCCTGCAGTACTTCTTACTTGTACACTGGTGACTGCGACCCCTAAACAGACTCACGACTTCCCACTGCAGTACTTCTGACTTGTACACGGGTGACTGTAGCACCTAAACAGACTCACGACTTCCCACTGCAGTACTTCTGACTTGTACACGGGTGACTGTAGCACCTAAACAGACTCATGACTTCCTCCTGCAGTACTTCTTACTTGTACACAGGTGCCTGCGACACCTAAACAGACTCTCGACTTCCCACAAACATTATATGGTGTGAGTGAACGCTGCCATCTCCGAACACCCCTACAGCATAGGACAGGCCATGGCATGAATGGGAGGGGAAGGAACTCAGAACTCATGTGCTACGGCAACGTGCAGGCAGGTTCATGATAAATACAGAAGAGTGAAATAATTTTAACTATCATTTACTTATTGTCTGTTTGTGTTGCAGGAAGTCAGGGCCTTAGAAAATGAGCTTCAGCTTCTGCGTAACTTCCAGCATGAGAGAATTGTTCAGTACTATGGGTGTCAGCAGGAGAGCAGTGTCTTATCAATTTTCATGGAGTACATGCCAGGGGTATGTGGATGGTTCTTGGTTGACTGACTGACTTTCAGCAACTGCCCTGTGTCTCTCTCTCTCTCTCACTCACTCACTCACTCACTCACTCACTCACTCACTCACTCACTCACTCTTCATCTCTCTTTTCTCAGTCTTTTCCCTTCATTTCTTCCCCTCTCCTTCTCTCTGTTCATCCCTCCATCTCTCTTCTCTCACTCATTCACTAACTTTCTCTTCCTCCCTCTTTTCTCAGTCTTTTCCCTTCACCCCTTCCCCTCTCCTTCTCTCTGTTCATCCCTCCATCTCTCTTCTCTATTTCTCCTTTCTCCCCCTCTTTTCCTTCCTTCACCCTCATTCTATCTCTCCTGCCTCTCTTTCATTATTTATCTATCAGGCTCACTCTCTCTCTCTCTCTTTTTGTCCCTCACAGACTCTTCCTGTCCTAGCACTGTGGATCCATCTGCTTTCTGATATTTCTGTATCTCTGTATATTTTATCACTTGCTGTGTCCATGTCTCTCTGATAACCTGTACCCTTGACTCTCTCTATCCTCTGATTCTCTGTCTCTGTTTTAAAAACATCCTTTTGAATAAAAAAATTTTAAATATCGCTATTGAGACCACTCCACCATCCACACACACACACATGGGTTGGGGTGAGTGTGTTTAGGAAGGAGAGAGAAAAAGCAGAGAAAGACAGATTTTAGAATAAGCACCAGTGCTTGCAGTCTGTGGAAAGAGAATCAGAAAATGACTTTCAGAGGGAAGTGGATTTACCTGTATAAAACTTTACACAAAATGAGTTAAATTAGACATTTCCTGAGATAGTTAGAAAAACATGTTATTGTACATGCTTTATTTCTTTTTTATCACACATAGGGCTCTGTTCTGGACCACATGAAACAGTATGGAGCCCTTACAGAAAATGTGACTCGTAAATACACAAGACAGGTTCTACAGGGTCTTGCATTCCTGCATAAGAATGTGATTGTTCACAGGGATATTAAAGGTATAGGTTCTTCTTTGAAGGAAAGCCAGAATTTATATGCTTTTTTTTCCCTTACTTACCTTTTTGTTGTTATTGCAAGTTTATGAAAGCATGGTATCTTTAAATTGTGATTATATATGTGTTTGAAATAAAAAATAATGACATCCTAACAGATCTGAACATCAAGGAAGGTTGACTAATAAACAGCATCCAGTCTCAGAAACCAAAATATTTCTTCCATTTCAAGGGCCACAGTGGATTGGAAAACATAAAAGCAGAAGGTGTGGTTCCAGGAAGTAAAGGCAAGGGCCGACCAGCATGAGGACGGGCACAAGATATAAGTGACTCCTAGGGTATAAAAGTCCACAAGGCAGAAGAGCCGACAAAAGGACACGTTTCTTTCAGGCAGATCATGATGAGAGCAACTTTGTGTTATAAATATGGCTTTTTTGGGGGGTAACTTTAAGACTTCTTCTCTGGTCCTGTTTTTCCCTTCGGCGTTAGGTTTTACAGAGGCAGTAGATGTGAACCTACTGAGGAAAGGCGAGACGGACGTATAACCAGATTGTGACCGGTACCATCAGTATTGGAACTCTGCGCTGGCTGCTGAGGATGGGAACGGAGCATGCATGGGAATGCCCAGAGTGCTGTGATGCCAATTCTTGACTCGGCTCAACTCAGCTCTAGGTGTATACCTTGGTATATGCTACGTAGATGCTGGTATTGATGGCCTTGGCGATTCCAACTATGCATCACTTTTAGGAATCTGTTGTGTAGAAATTTTGTTCATGTCTTATCAACTTTATAACCTTATTAGTTTTGTTACATTATTATTATCGGTGTCTGTGACTTAGGGGTTACAAACACGATTAATAATTCTAAAATCTGGTTTGGTTCAGCAGTATATGATGTGACAGCAGACCGCTTGACATTCATTTCAGCAAGGGTATAGGTCAACAGCCATTCAGAAAGCCATGTCAGACTGAGCATGAAAAAACTGAGATAATTTACTTTATTAATTTTATTCTGCTTCTTCTTCTTCACTTCCTCTTTTACCGCTTCTGGTGTCGAGAGAGATGTCAGGTTCTGCCTTTTGCTCTTCTGGATACCTCAGCCATAAACACATCATGCTGTTGTAGAGTTTTTCTGATGTTGTCATTCCATCTTGTTCTTGGTCTGCTTTGTGCTCTACATTCTTCTCTTTTGGTGTATGTCTTGTGTGGTATTATATCACATGGTATTGTATCTAAGTTGGCAAACTATTTGATTTTGCTGTCTTTGTGTGTAGTTAGAATCAGATCTGTGCTGACTTTTTCTCTTAGTTTTATTGCCTTACTAAGACTTATTAAGACATCTAAGCATAACTATGAGTGCAAAGAGACAGATTATTAATAGCATATTCATTCCAACATTAAGCTACCAGTGCCAAACATTGACACTATCTAAAGCCTATATACTCAAAATCACCACCTGCGAGATGAGGTGCCTGAGAAAAGCAGCCAACCTAACCCTCTGAGATCGAGTGAATAATGAAACTATCAGGCAAATTGTGGGAACGACACCTTGTACTAGATTCATCAAGAAACAGCAGATGAAGTGGTTTGGCCATCTTGTTGGAATGCAGCAAGATCTAATACCATCACAAGCACTACATCTCAGAAGATCGGCTACAAGGGCAAGAGGACGGCCACAGAAAATATGGATCGACAACATTAAAGACACTCTACGCCTTCACGGCATGACAATAGCCAGTGGCAGCCAATGTGCACTGGATTGCAAATTATTCCTCCCCACGACGCTTAGGGGCAGAAGTGTCCATTACATTATTGTTGGACTTTTGGTCCAGTAGGGTTTAAGACAGGGCAACAGTTTAGCTTTGGAGTTATGCTGTTTTTTTGCTGAAGCAGTTTCCACAATGGTATGACACTACAATCTTGCTGCTTAAGTTACTGAGTTAAGTGCTTAGTGCAACACTGTAAGCTGCGTTACATATAGGTGAAAGCCAAAAGTCCAAGCGGACGATTACCTGACCTTCCACTGGAATTCACTGCCGGTGTTCGATGAAAAAAAAAAAAAGAATGCCTTTTCTTTATGCCTGCAGTTGTTGTGTCTTGATTTTTTTTTTTAAATGGCAGGTAGCCATGTTGTGTTTTTCGGCCGACGAAATACTTTTTGCATTAATTTTGTGTGTGTGTGTGTGTGGCCAACTGATCATGACTGACTACTTGCATCAACAACAAATTGCAGTTTGGGTGTCAATTTTTTGTGTCTGCATCTAGCAGCTGCCTTATGCATTTATTGCATGCATGTGTGTATTTCTGGATTTTGCCGGGACTAATTTGTTCACAAGCTTGCAAAAAAAAAAAAAGCACAGTGAGAGGCATTTTGTATTATTTTCACTGATACAGGAATGGAGCAATTCTAGGGCGACCCATTTGCAGCGAAGTTTGAACCTAGATAACTACTTCTATTAAAACAAAAATTAAAGGACCCTTTCCCACACCTTCAGGCATATTGGGCATAAAGTGTTAGACCTATATTCTATAGACCAATTGGCATTTGGTGGGTGATGTGGTTAACATCCTGCTGGCCATCTTGACTTCTAAGGACTTTACCTGGTACCCATTTAAGGCTGGGGGAGCCAAGATAACTACTACTGCTACTAACATTATTGTTAATTGTTTTTAGGTTCCTAATCTTTTTTGTTGACTTAATTATCTCATTGTTAGAAACAGTTGTATGATCAGTTTTCATTTGTTTTCTTTCTACAAAAGCTGCAAATATTCTGAGGGATACTTTGGGAAATGTAAAACTAGGAGATTTTGGAGCATCCAAGCGACTGCAGAACATTACCAGCGCAACAGGCCTTAAGACAGCAATTGGGACACCTCATTGGATGGCTCCAGAAGTTATAAATGGAGAGGGTTATGGCCGCAAAGCTGATGTCTGGTGAGTTTATCTGAACATTTATTACTATTTACTGCAGTTATGATGCTCTTATGGGAGCCGCCATGGTGTAGTGGCTAGATGCTCGCCTGTGGATCGGAAGGTCATGTGTTCAGATCCTGACGGAGCTGGACATTTTTCAGAATTGACCTTGGCTCAATTAAAAGGTGGAAAGAAAGGAATAAACCCACCCCCTGCAATTGACTGAATTGACCTTGGCTCAATTAAAAAGTGGAAAGAAAGGAATAAACCCACCCCCTGCAATTGACTATGAATTGACCTTGGCTCAATTAAAAGGTGGACAGAAAGGAATAAACCCACCCCCTGCAATTGACTATGAATTGACCTTGGCTCAATTAAAAGGTGGACAGAAAGGAATAAACCCACCCCCTGCAATTGACTATGAATTGACTAATTAGGGATATTTCCTTTAAAGTCAAAGTACATCTGCATGTGAGGTGCAGAACCAGTAGTCTGCATACAAATAAGCCAGATCTATGAAAGGGATGTGCACGCAAAACTCAATTCTAGAATAGAACTGAAGTCCACAGGTGGACAAGCAACCAGAACCTTCCACCAGAGTTTACCACTGATGAGCCCAAAGAATAGGAAGAAGAATTAACAGCTCTTGTTAAGTCCTGATGCCAAGATCAGTTTGGTTTATGTATACAGATTTGCTCGGGGACATTAGCAGACTGGTAGTTTTATATTCATATAAGAAATGGTGTTGTTTGTTGCTGTAATTGCAGGACAGTTATATTTTCACACAAAAAGAATGCTGTTTGTAGCTACATTAAAGCAGAAAGACAATTATGCTTTTGCACTAGAACATATGCTGCCTTGTGCTACGAGGGGAAGTCAATAAACAGTTATACTTTTGCACTAGAACATATGCTGCCTTTTGCTACGAGGGGAATACAATAAGTAAGTCACAAATGCTTATAGGATAGCAGGAAAATTTAGTTGGTTGTGAGAGTGACATCAAACTATATCTCCGTTTGATAGGCGGCATTAGGTATTGCATGTGCATTTGCAATACAGAAACAAAATTACTGTACTGTACTTACGAAGTGTACCCATAAAGAACGTGCTGTTATGCGTTTTTTGGGGCAAAAGGGCTGCCTACACAGGACATTCATAAGTATGTGCTTCCTATTTATGCTAACAAATCTTTATCCCATAAACCTGTGCTATGAACACCTACCTTGACGGGAATGACGCAGAAGTTTAATGTGAAGTGAAAATGTGGTTTAGAAAACAGAGCATGCAACTCTGTGCAGCAGGTTTGGGAGTATTGATAAAATGATGGGACAAGTGCATCAATGTTGGTGGAAATTATACTGAAAAATAAAGTGACAGTGTGTGTTAAAAAAAACAGTTTTCAAGTTATCATCTTTATTTTTATTTTGATACAACCATTTGTGACCTACTTATATTGACTTCCACTTGTAGATTGGCTGGGCATTAGTTATATTTTCATACATTTGCTGTCTATTGCTGCATTAGCAGAGGGATAATTATATTTTTATTCAATACTTTGTGCAGTCTGTTGCTGTCTATAAGACAGTTATATATTTTCATACAAGAACACATGCTGTCTTTTACAAATACAAATTCACTATAGGAAAACAGTATTGTGAATTATATCCTCACACAAGAAAGTGTACTTTCTATTACTACAGCAGGAGAGAGAGAGAGAGAGAGAGAGAGAGAGAGAGAGAGAGAGAGAGAGAGAGAGAGAGAGAGAGAGAGAAAGAGACACACGCACGCACACACCCTCTCTCTCTCTCTCTCTCTCTCTCTCTCTCTCTCTCTCTCTCTCTCTCTCTCTCTCTCTCTCTCTCTCTCTCTCTCTCTCTCTCTCTCTCTCTCTCTCTCTCTCTCTCTCTCTCTCTATCTGTCTCTCTCCCACATAGAAACATATATGTTGCTCCATCAGTCGGATAATTGTATTTTCATACAAGAACATATATCAGTGTCCACTGTGCACAATTCACACCAGAAAATACTATGTCTATTTCTACATTAACAGATTGTGTTTATTTTACATATCTAGGAGCCTGGGCTGCACTGTTGTGGAAATGCTTACTCAGAAACCTCCATTTCCTGAATACGAATCGTTTGCTGCAATGTTTCAAATTGTGACTTCCAAACACCCAAAGTATGAACTCCCGCCGAATTCCTCAATAGCACTAAAGGACTTTCTCCTGCACACTTTTAAACGAACCGGCCAGGATAGACCGTCTGCTGAAGCTTTACTAGATCATCGATTTGTGCGAGAATTAACTTCTTAATAGTTGTGTGTTCCGACTAGGATGCTCATTCTGTGCGGTCACAATCAGTAACAACTATGTGGTGAACAAAGATTGTTTATTGGATTGTGCTTCTTACCAGGTAGTTCATTTTGTATGCCAAATAATAGAGAACACTGTACATTACTGGCAGAGATTTTTTTGTGTAAAAAATTATTGTGAAAACGCGTCAGCAATATTGATATTGTTGGAGCTCCTTGAAGTTCACAAGATGTCTGTATCCAGCCCATTCATTCGGAGATTTCTGTATTATGTGTATGAACACAGCATGAGGCATATTGGATACAGAGATTTGTTGGCTACGGAGGGTGATATGATAATTTCATGGCTGTTTTGTAAAATTATATGTTTAAAAATTGTTTTATTGCGTATACTGTGAATATTTTGCACAAATTAGGTATTTGCAATTTGTTGTTTTAATTGTTGTTTAATTCTTCCTGACACTGTCACTTTTGATTTGTTTGTATGCATTTGTAGCAGAGCATCTGAAACTGTTCATGTTGGTGACACAGTTTTTAAGAGAAATATAATTTTATGACACAGTAATTCAAACCAGAAGTTAAACTAATTCTTATAAGAGATACAGACACATTCATAAATTATGTTCTTGTGGCACACTTTCACACTGCAGTTGAAAGCTCCATTCTAGAGTCATTGAAGTGCAGTAAACATGGATAGCAAATTTCTGGTATTTGTTCCCTTTTTTTTTTGTTTTTTTTTTTGTTTTTTAGTTAATTAAGAAGTCTGTATAGTGAGTTGATTAATGTTGGAGATGATGATTATTTTTTCCAGCTGTTAGTTTTTGATGGTTGTTTATTTTCCTCCTGTTAGTATTAGATGGTTTAGGTTTTTTCCTACTGTTTAAGATGGATTAGGTTGTTTTTTCCCCCTACTATTAGTTTTAGAGAGTTTAGGTTATTTTTTCCTCCTGTTAGTATAAGATAGTTTAGGTTTTTTCCTCTAGTTAGTTTTAGATGGTTTAGGTTTTTTCCACCTGTTAGTTTTAGATAGTTTAGGCTACTTTTTCCCCCTGTTAGTTTTAGACAGTTTAGGTTACTTTTTTCCCCTGTTAGTTTTAGATGGTTTAGGTTACTTTTCCCCCCTGTTAGTTTTAGATAGTTTAGGTTACTTTTTCCCCCGTTAGTTTTAGATGGTTTATGTTTTTTCCTGTTGTTATTTTTAGATGGTTAGGTTTTTCCTCCTGTTATTTTTATATGGTTTAGATTATTTTTTCCTCCTGTTATTTTTAGATGGTTTAGGTTATTTTTTTCTTTGTTAGTTTTAGATGGTTTAGATTATGTTTTTTCCCTGTTACAGCAAGTAAATGCAAGAAGAGGAAAATTTGACCATCAGCTAAAATAACATCAGACACTGAAGAATAAAATGTCATAAAGCATTCTTTGTCTGCATTTAACCTCAGAAGAGTAGTTTGCACATTGTGTTGTGGTTTTCAGCTAGGCTATAATATATGTGCCGAACACATCTGATTTTAGCAGATCTTTAATTACAACATTGTTATTAAAAGACAAGAAATTAATCACCTGAACTGTGATGAAGCAACAAAATAAAGGTGGAGGGCGGAATAACAACAAAAAACACAATGCGCACACGAGAAAAATCTGGTGTTTTGGCAGGAGTTTTTATCCACAAAAGCTACACCTACAGCAAAAAGTGGGAGAGTATGAAGAGTTGTTGTTGGTGAGGTTTTTAATAACATTACAACGTGGAAAGGATTTTGTGTTTCTACACTTGTGGCTCATTGCTGAGAACAGGGAAAATTCTGACTACTGACATTTCCAACAGGATCTTTGTCAGGGCTTAAGGATCATCATCATCATGTGGCAGGTCCTTGGCAGAACATCACTCTTATCACAGCCTGCCTGAACGAAGCTAGGTCTCTCACCAACAGTCCTACCTCCTGCACATTCCTGCTCAGGGTGCTGCTTATATCCTGCGTCCATCTTCATGCTGGTTTGCTCCTGCTCCTCTTTCCTGGCATCATACCTTCTGCCAAAGTTCTTTCCATGGTATTCTAGAAATTTTTTAAAGCATTTCAGTTCAAATGCCCCTTGTTTCTTGCTTAATGCTGTGAGCCTGACTCAAATCCATATGTTGCTACAGGAAAGTTTTATGCCCTCAAAAGTTTGACTTTGATTTCCTTGCTGGTACTTAACCAAAGACTTTTAATGCTGTTTAATCTTTGCATTGCTATGGCCATCCTCATTTCAACTTCTCTTGAACAGTCTTCATTGCTGTTCATAATGTTTTCAGTTTCTACATAATTTATTGTTGTTTTTGGTAAAATGAAAAATAAATAAATATAAATAACATATGAAAACAAAATAACCAAACTGATGTCCCCTCATAAGAGGAAAGCAAAGAGAGTTGTCATTCTATGGAAGCCTGACAGGACAGGCAGTGTTAATTAAAAGTGATTCTTGGGGGCTTACTTGTGTACCTACCTGTTCTTTGTCATTATAAACCCATGCTTTGGTCTCCCCACATACAAAAATTGTCTTACTGCTCTAGAGAAATTGCTTTACTTTGAACAGTTGAATATTTATCTGAGCATCTTATGTGCAAAATTTTCTAATTGGGCAAGTTGTTTCTGTGATCCATTTTAAGTTAATGATTCAAACTTTACTCTTCTATGTATACTTCTGTATATACAGTCTCTTTTACTGCATGCAATATCTTTTTTTGTTTCAAGTATTTTGGGAATTTCACACTATTTCTGGTCTGGATTTGGAGGAATAACTTTTCAGAAATGATTTCCTTTATTGAAAAATGCTTTGAGATATTTTAAAGATTTGATTGATTTAAAAATTGTTTCAGAAATATTTCAGTGTTAACTTCATTGTCACTAGTCATAATTGTTTATGCAGTCATTTATTGGAACTGAATGGTTAACTTTTGTGCTACATAATTTATTCTATAGATCAAGGCTGTTGAACAAAGTTTACTCAGGGGCAGAAATGTTGACAATGGGGATCATCACGGGCTGGAGGCCCATGTGGGCTAGATTCTGTCCGCAGGCTGGAGGCCCAAGCGGGCTAGATTCGGTCCGTGGGCTAGATTCGGTCCGTGGGCTAGATTCGGTCCGTGGGCTAGATTCGGTCCGTGGGCTAGATTCGGTCCGTGAGCTAGATTCGGTCCGTGGGCTAGATTCAGTCCGTAAGCTAGATTCGGTCCATGGCCTGCCAACTGTATCGCCCTGCTATAGACAATTTTGTATATGTGTTTTAAGTAATTGACCTGTGTGATGATTCAAATTCTGTGCACCAGTTTTGATATCAGTCCTTGACAGACTAATGTTGAACTTTGAATGTTGAATTAAGAATCGACATCGCAGCACTCAGGACACCCCCATAAGCGCTTTGTCTCCATCTTCAGCAGCAAGCGAAGAGTTAAAATTCCAATTGTACCAGTAACTGATTTTATATCTTTCTCACCTTTCCCCTTAGTGTCGAGCATCGGCCAGATTCCCTTGTAACTCCTCACAGCGCCATTCTCCTCAGACCGTAATGATCTATCTGTGCCTCAGCACTTTTCACTTGCTGCCAAAGGGCCCTCACAACATCCAGCTTGTCATACATCAATTCACCACCAAGTGGTGCATAACCGGCCAGTCTATCTGCCTGCTCATTTCCCAACACACTAGTATAACCCGGAGAAAATATCCAAAGAATTCCAACCACCTGGGACCCCTGAGTGATGCCCGCCACTCCAAAACTTGTTGAACTTTGTTGAGAGAGAAGTAAACAAATTTAAGTTAATCAGTAGGTGTGGAAAAGAGTGGCATTGGATAGACACACACTGAAAAAAACCTGAGAGTAATATAACAACTAGTAGAGCTTTTAACAAGGGCATAGTAATAAAGATAAACAAAACAAACAAAAAGTAATTTTAAAAAAAACATGGAAAAGAGAACTAGAAAGTGAAGTTAAAAAAAATGGGGAAGACATGGGGTGAGCTGCAAGCAGTAGCAAAGGATAAAATGACTTGGCTTGAGTTAGTTGATGGCCAGTGGGGGATAAAGGGCAGAAGAGGAAGAAGAATCTTTGACAGTTATACAGTGAACTGCACTTTGTTTTTGTGGATGGACCCCCTGCCATTCCCATTTACCAGATTTTTGAAGTAATGGATGAGAATTTTTCTGCTTGTTTTACTCATTGCTAAAGACACCAGTTGTATCTGTGCATATTGGTTTTCTCCTTTCTTAGCCCTCATTTGGTCAGCTTTCGGGTCATAGTTTGGGTTTAGTTAAATTTTATTTCTTGAAATCTATAGCAGCTAATTTATTATTTATCAATTTGAAACCCTGCTGTTTTGGCCGCATTGAATATGGAGCAAAAATATAACAAGGTTTGAATTATTTACGGGCACAGGTATTTTGCATTGTCACATTTGGGAGTTGTGACTGACTTAAAGTATGAATCCTCTTATTTTCATTATATAATTTGTTTTTTTTTTATATTAGCCACTAGTAGAGACACTTTCACTAACTACATACATTCGGCAATATCAGACAAATGTTCCCACACTTGTGTCTATTAATTCTTTTGGTACCAAGCAACTAATATCTTGAGGCCTGTGAGATGTGGTTTTACAGAAGAATCCTTAGAATTCCTTGGACAATTAAGAAGAGCAACCCAGATGTTTTGAAAGACGCAGGTGCTTGAAGAGAACTTATCACAAACATCAGAAAAAGACGGTCATCATTTTTTGGTCATGTTATAAGAAGAGGAAAAATAGAATGTGTTTTGACAACTGGAAAGATTTGTGGAAAGAGAGACGGAGGAAGACAGATTCTTGACAGCCTTTATTCATGGCATGGAGGGGTGTCAGCACACGAACTGATACACGTATTTGCAGATCGCAGGTTGTGGAAAGGCATGATCGCCCACGTCTGTTGGCAAGGCACTTGATGACAATGACCATGCAACTGACTATTTGTTTAGTGATTACTCTATATATTGTAT